CTTATAAAAAAGATATTAGAAGTAGCTCGCTTGTCTAATAAAAATGTGCTAATTTTTAATTTACCCATAAATCAATATAAGAGCTCTTGATTGAAGCTGATTTATATGAGGTTTTAGTTCAATCATTTAATTTTGATACATAAATCATGAATATCATAATAGAATTATTGTCAAAAGAGGAGAATCAAAATTTGGATTGCTTAGAGTTTCTAAAAAATCTCAAGTAAAGCTATTATAGAATTATAATTAAATTGAAAATATATCGCTTTTGGAAAATGAAATATTTTGATACTTTTAAGAAGTCTATTAATTCAATTACTCATTTAATCGAAACCATAAAAGAACATGATATTAATTCTTTTAATTATTCACTAAAATCTAGGCTGAAACGAGATAATATCTAATTAAAAAAATATCACAAGAGGTTAGGATGAAAGAATTTTTGAAATTTTTAGTTCATCTCGCTAAGATAGATAATAGATTTAAAATAAGTGGGTCTAATGCACTTAATATATTGGTTGTAATGTAGGTGGCTCTAAAAAACTAAAATTTTGAAAATATAAGAATATCAAATACTTCCTTATTTGGAGGTAATTATCTAAATCTTAATTTAAGAATGTGAATATCAATAATGGAGTTAATTTACATGGAGCTTAATTTTTTGGATTTAATTGGTAATAATTCAAAATAAACGATTTATATTAATTAGATGGTCATACTCATTATGTCCTCTCAATCTGTTTCTCTCCTGATGGAAACACATTAGCTTCTGGTAGTTATGATTAGTCTATCCGTCTATGGGATGTCAAAACAGGATAATAAAAAGCCAAAATTAGATGGTCATTAATATTAAGTCAACTCAGTCTGTTTATCTACTGATGGAAATACATTAGCTTCTGGTAGTAGTGATAAGTCTATCCGTCTATGGGAAATCAAAAACAAGCATTATTCAGATTATAGATTTAAAGAAATTTAGGTTAAAAATGCAAAATATCCTTTTTTTAACACACTTTTGCAGAAAAATAATATACATAAAATTTAGATACATCTAATATTATGGTTTACCCAGACTTCACTTTTTCAAGGTTAAAGAGAGTTTTTTATAAAGAACCGTTTCCATTTAGGAGAATTATTGCAGTATAACACTTGATTAATTTAAAAACTAGCCTATATTAACCCTTAATTTAAATCTATTTTAATATACTTCTTGTGTCAAATATTTGCTGATAGAGTTCTATTATTTAGTTTTTTCTTTTTTAACAATCTTGAAGCATTACTAAAATGGAAATTAATTTAGCACATTTTAAAATATTATGAAATAGAACTTTTAGTTGCATGAATGCAACAATATCTAAAATCTTTGTATACTGTTTTTTTGGTATTATTCTTATCATTACCAAGCATTTTCTATCAATTTATATTTAGAATGTGAACTGTCTAAGATTTATACAGTAGATTCTACAATCAAAACTTTCGACATTTATCATTTCTTTGCTTGAAATTAGAAAGTGGAAAGTGTTGAAGGGAGCAGCAGAAAAAAATGTTAAGACCATCTATGTACCATTAAAAACTTAAGAGTAAGGTAAAAATGAGACCAGTAATTTGATGGGTTTATATTAATTTGATGATAAAGATGGAGAAGTGAATGAGTTTTTATATGAACGGAAAACAGTATTGCTAATTCATGGATTAGCTGGATCAGGCAAAAGTACTACAGCCAAAAATATTCAAGAGTTTATTTGGAAATATAGCAATAAAAAAATTGGGAATTATGTACTAATACCTGTTTATATTTCATTACCGTCCTTAAAAACCTGTTTTTTAAGCAGTAGAGGAATCACTTAAGTAAGATGATTATGGGTTTGATGATCTTTAATTGAAAGAATGTAAAGAGATGTTGTAAACGAAAGAATTCCGATTCATGTTTATAATGGACAGTTATGATGAAATGAAGCTAGAGAATATTTAGAAAAATTTATACATTAATAATAAGCTCAAATAAAATTGGTCAGACCCTCTTGTTATTTTTACCACTAAAAGTGACATTTTTACTAGTAGTAATTATGCATACTGGTTTGCGCCTGAGATAATTAAAGATTTAAAGTAATCTAGCTTCTTCAGTTTGAATAGAGTTAAAAATAAAATATCTTAAGAAATTTACGATTTAAAGTATTAAAATGTTAATTTATGATATGCATGAATGGTAAGTATAAACTTAAAACCAAAAAGCTCTAGATTTTAAAAAGTTTGGACAGAGTTGGGAAAAGGTATAGTCATCATTTTTGAAATTTGATGAAACAAGGTGGAAATCTGAAACTCTTTTGAATGAAAAATTAATAATCAGTATTTTATAATTTTTGAAGGATGTGTTAATTTCTTAAAAAAGTAATGAAGCTAGTAGAAGCTTGAGCATAAATTTACAAAAATTATAAAAGTATGAAGATATGATGACCTTGGTAAATCTAAATAAATTAGTGGAAACTCCATATATGATGGAAATTATAGTGTAAGTGTTGCCCAACATAATTCTTAAAGCAACTGAAATTATTAACATTAAATGAACCTTCTTGAAGAATTTTTAAAAGATATTAAAAGAATTTTTAATAAGTAAATACAGAATTCAAATGTATAAATCACAATAGAAAAAGGCACTTTTAGTAGTCAATAAATGAAGTTAATAAAGAATTTGAAGCAGAAATTTAAGTCGATTAAGATGAATTCTTGGAAGTTACCCAAAACGATTTTTATATTTTGGAAGAAAATTCTATCCCTTAATAAATGTAAAATTCTTAAGAATTCGAGGGAATGCAGACATATCTTTAAACAATATTTGAAACTAAACTGTTGCTACCAAATTAGATATCAAAGAAAGGAATAATTAAAAAAAAAAATAATCTAAGTTGCTTATGATGCATTAAAAGAACACAATCTTACAATTTAAGACTTTTAACAATATTACCATTTGAAATAAATTGAAAAACAGAAAAACTTAGGAAAATCTATAGATACTGTTCGTTTTCTGCATGATCTAATATAAGTAGCAAGGATTTTTATATTAAAATGTAAGAAAAGAAGATCAATCACTAAATGAAT